TTCCCCCGCCGCTTCCCGTCTTGCCTTCGGACTCGACTCCATGCAGTCGCCGCTCGATGACTCCACCGTGTTTGCCGGCCGCGTCTACTCTAAGTTCCTTGGGTGAGCGGAATTGTTCTTTGGAGAAGATGACGGGGAAAAGGGCTTTGTTTAAATTTGGGAATCCAAATCTAGAAAAATTGAGAACATGAAGAATTGAAGTGGATTATATGGAAAGTTTTGAACTTTATTGATTTTTTTGTTTAACGTTCCCGGTAGGGCAAATCTTATGAGAGTAGTTAATTCATTAGTGAATTTCTAAATGTGTTTTGGGCTTAATTTTGGGGTGTTTTCGATCAACACCAACAAGCTCTTGCTTTTGCAGCCTTTTCGTCTTCTTCTTCTTCGATTATTGAGCTCCAATGGCGGTCACCGTTCGAGAAAGCCGCGACAGGGAGGAGGAAAAAATATTTGAATAAGATAAGAGTAATTAAGGACATTTTCGTCTTTCCATCCAAAACACGGGCCACGTGATATCTCACGTGCACTGTGCCATTACTTTTTAGACAACATCTGACGAAAATGACTACATTGCATCTTTTTAAATAGTTTGGGGTTCGTTTCGTCTAAAAAAAAGTTTGAGGATCAAACTGTTACCTTTTAAAGAGTTTGGGGACCATTCATGCAATTTATCCAAAAAAAAAAGAAAAAAAACTAAAAAGGTTATTTTGACATCCAGATAATTTTATTTTATGTGTTTAAGTCTGTATAAATAGAGACCTAAAGCAATTTGGCAGTTAGAGCTCCCTACCAACTGTTTTTTTGGACCCACCCCTTCGCAAGTGTAACCGTCCCATGACTAACAATTGCTCATGTCTATGAGGAGGATCCAACCAACGGTGGGGACTAAGGAATTAGATAAATACCATAAACTAAGCAGTGCATGTTGATTATTTGATGCTGAATCATAACATTTTGTTTTTCTTTCTGAATTTAGGTGGATCATAGCATTATTTTTAGAATGAAAATTGCAAATTTGATCCTAAAAGAATAAGAGTTGTTTCATTTTGTCTACCTGTAACTCAAAATTGCACAACACTTTTATATCTTTGTTCTCTCCAATTTATCACAAGATGTATCTTAGTACTTTTGTCATTGAAACATAAGTTATTAATAGTTTTAATCTCGTGTAGATCATGTGACTTGTTGATAAAATACAATATTAGTGGGTGACGGGTTGAGTACAGGAGGAGACCACACCTTGAGTTGAGCGAAAAAAATTTTGTAATTATTTAATTTAAAAGTCTAATTTAATTATATTTACAGTATTATTCTTTATTAATTAGTCACGTGGCCAACACTTGATTAAAACCATTAAAAATTGATGTCTTGATAACAAAAGTACTAAATTTGTAATTTATGATAGGTTTGAGAAGAGTTTTATGTAATTTTGAGTTGTAGAAGACAAAATAAGAGAACCATTATATTGTAGAGGTGAAAAATAAAAGTAACGCTTTTCACAAGTGTTGAATCTTAACTTTAGTAGATTAATATGATAAATTATAATTCAGAACAATATGGATAGAATACCTAAGAAAAACATGTAATTCAATGGAAAGGATACAATACAGATAGATAGCTATATGGCATTTTTGTTTTGTCTTTATGCATTTAGAGCAACTCCAATGCATATGCTAAATTAATATGTCAATACCTTACATAGATAGAAAAATTATTATCTAATAATGTGTTATTTTTTATGTTAAATTTAACATTTACTATAGTTAGGTTTAAATTTTGCATATGTCAAATTACGAAATTTGATTGTTATGATCTAAGGTTTGATCTTTTCATTTAAAAACTATCATATTTGTCATTTTTAAGTTATTTTATATTAAATGTTTACTTTTACAAGTTTTAAAACTTAAAATTTGTGACAGAAAAGTAGATAGCATTTACGGTAACATTAAAAATTGAAATACAAAATAGAACAAGATGCCAAATATGTCATTTTCATATATGTTGTGTCAACTATAGCATTGAAATTGACATAACACTTACTAATTTACATTAAAAATGGTCTAAGGTAACACTTCATCATTATACGTCACAAAAGGTTAAAGCTAATTTACTCTTAAAAAAAAGAGAAAATATTGATCCAAGTATTTTACTCATTTGCCTTTTAAACTTGTTTAGTTTTAAAAACTTGCCCTTGAGTTTTTATTTAGGCAAGTTATCCCCTCAATTTATAAAGTTATTGTAATATGCCCCATTTTGACGACAATTATGTCAAATTAATGTTGAAAAAACACATTTGCACGAAAATTTCTAACATCTCGATTCAAATGTAACACAAATCTTTCAATTTTTTAACTTTTAATACCTTAAATCTAGTAAAAAAAATTGAGCAAATTTAGTAAAATGAGGCACATAATAATTTACAAGTTTGAGAAGTTGATTATCAAAATTAAAAAATTAGGAGGCAGTTTAAAGACAATTGTACTAAAAACCAACCATATCTTACTGAATAATCTGACTGAATGAGGAAGAGCTCAAATTTTCCTTAACCTAATTAATCAGCCCCGGGGGAGAATGGTGATGGAGATGTCATCCTGGATTTTTTTTTCCGTATGCCGGACTTTTCGGCCAAATTTTTCACTGAAGCAACCCTATTGTTTCAACATCTTTTGTAAGAACTTTATCAACTTTAATAGGTATACTTTATCAACTTTATTAAGTTGATACCTCCATGTTTGGGCAACCTAATTACAGTACCCTATCGTTAAATAAACAAATAAATAAATCATTTAACTATTATGAACCTGTTTTTGAAGAAATAAATTGATAATTTTGCCTTTTCTAAAAATATAATTAATTAAGAAAAACATAAAATTTCAAAACAAATTTATGAAATCTAAGAAACAAGACTTAAAATTCCCTAATAAATCTATAATCCCCAGAAAAACATAAAATTTTTGTTTTCGTGAAAAAACCTATTTTTGAATTTAAAAAACTAAAATTGTCAATTTATATCTTAAAAATGGGAAGGGTGCTTAGATGATACATCTTCATGGTGGACCATGATATCTTACTTCACTTGTGGCAACAATATTTTTACTGTTACATTAATTTTCAACGGGCAAATATGCAATAGGAGCAGTTTTATGTGTCGTACTATAAATTTAATACAGATCCGTAAAGAGCTGACTGTTGAAAGACTTATACTGGTGGAGCAAAATAACATGCTCTACCGTAAATGTTCCCTATACTTTTTGGAATGATAAGATATTTGATGAAATTTTGGAGAAATTTTTTTCCGGGGGACGTAATGGAACCAAAATTTTAAATTGAAAATTAGAGTGCAACTATATTTTATCAACTTTATATCTCTTTTTACCTCCATTTTATCTACTTTATTATATTCTTTATTCTTCTTTCAAATCAACTAAACTCATAATATAATTTAATCCACTTTTTAAAATTAAAGTCCATAAAATATAAGTTTACATAGTACTATAATTGAATTTTGGTTTATTTGAGATTTTAAGATCGAAAATGAGCTTGCATAACTGAAATTTTTTAAAAATTCTATTTTAATATTACAATTTTGAAGGTTTTTGGGGGACAAATGGTAAGTAAAATATACATAAAAAAAAAAATTAAGGCCAAGACTAAAAGGAGCCATTGGCCTGGGGCAGCTCCCCCGTTGAAACATGAAGATATCAAATAAGGTTCAAAATTATGGGCCTGTTCTTTTGTCGTTTTTGAGTTAGGTGACTTAGAGTATAGATTTTGAATTGAGTTTGAGTTATAACTTGAGTTTGTGTTTAGTTGTGTACAATTGGGTTATGGTTTGAGATAAAAATCTTTTTGAGTTTGTATTTGAGTGAGTCAAAACTTGAATTTATATTTAGATAGTATTTTAATAAAAACTCAATGCTAATGGAAAATTTTAATAGGGTATATGGGTGAGGTTTTATTCTTCTTTTCGTTGTCAATATATAGAAAAAAAATCATCTCAATCAGAATTAAAACGAAAAAGTTATAGCATTTTTAAGAATAGAAAAAATACTGTTAATTAATTTGAGTTCGAGTTTCTGAACTCGAGTTGAAGGAGAAACTTACACTCGAATTTTAGTCTCAAATTTGGTCAAACTCGAATTCAAACTTAAAAGAACTTAAACTTAAATAAAATTATAACTCAAATTACTTTGAGTTTTTAATTTAAAAAAAAATTGCCGAATGGCCCCTACATGTATCCAAATTATATTTTCCTTTATTAAAAAAAAAGAAAGAGAGAGAAAGAGAGACCAAGGGTATTTTGGTAATTTGAGCTGTACCACACCGACCTTTTTCCATGGAGCCCAACAAACTCAGGCCGTTAGCTGAAATAGCGATCCACTGACAATTCTGCCCTTTCCGCTGAGCAGAGCACAAACAGTCTGAAACGTCGGCAGCTTAAGGGAATTTCCAAACAGCCCATCATCATGATTGGACGATCTTTTTTTGCCAATCGATTGGACGGTCTTTTTCTTAGTTTTGGGTTGTCCACAAAAGTACAAAAAACTGACAAAAACCCAACATCACTTTCAGTTTCAACTTTCTACTATTCAAATGCACAACCTGGGACCCACAAAAAAAAAAAAAAAACATTTTGAAAACATTAAACATTAAAAAAAATTTCCTAAATCGGGGCACAAGTCAGAAAGCGACACAACCTGCGGGGCCTCCACATATAAACACACAACAATCTAAGCACCGCGTGTCTAATGGGCGTACTTGTCAGACAATACTGACTCTGTTTACGAGCGACGCTTAGAAGGGACACTTCATTCCTCTGTTGGCTTACGTGTCGTTTCATTCTCCTTCTTATTTCTTTCCATATAGATATAGATATTAAGAAATAAGATTAAGATTTCTCTTTGGATTTGTTTTAAGATTTTTTTCTTTTCATTTTTTGTTTTGTTTTCTTGGCTATAAATAAGGACTTGGGCCTTCGGTAGAATTTGTTAGGAGGCTATCGTATTCTGTTTGGCGGAATCACAAGAAGTTTTCCTCATCTGGGTCTTCTGCTTTTTCACCTTTCTTTCCCGGTTTGGGATTTTGGGAAGGGAATAAAAATCGTTTTTTTTCTGTCTTCTCTTTAGCATATGGTATAAGTTTTCTATTCCTGTTGGGAATTTTTAGCTTCAAATTTGTATAATATTTGGAATTTGTTTGGTGGGTTGGTCTTTTTTCTTATATATATAAATATATAAATATATATATATTTGTTTTATTTTTGGTTTGTATTGGGGGTTGGGGTTGCAATGGAGGAGAGGTATGAGCCATTGAAGGAGCTTGGTTCTGGGAATTTTGGAGTGGCGAGGCTTGTGAGGGATAAGAAGACAAAGGAGCTTGTTGCAGTCAAATATATTGAAAGGGGAAAAAAGGTAATTTTATTTTTCTTTTTTTTTCTTCTTTAAGGAAATTATGTGCTAAGAATTGTGCAAATGTTGCTGCTTAGTTTATCCTAACTTTTCTTGGTTTTATTGAACAAAACTTTCAGTTTTTTTTTTTTTTTTTTTTTTTTTTTTTTTTTTTTTTTTTTTGCGGGAAAAATTGATTAGAAGTCAGTTGTGATTTACCGTCAGGTTAATCCTGTAATTGGAGAGTTTATTCTCGATCGAGTTTATATTGTTACTTCAAATCTTGGTATTAAAACCACAGACATGCTAATAGGTGAAACACTTGTGTTATTAAATTGTGAGTTAATTCGAGAACTTGAGATGGATCCTACGGTAGATTAATAGATTGGACTCAAGGGTAGAGCCACTTAATGTTGACCTTCTCATTGACTTTTAATTTTGGTTTGAGATGGAGACTATAACATTGCAGCTTGACCAAGACAGTGGATTTTTGGTGTTTACTGTTCTAGAAGCTTGAATTATCTATCAAATTAAGGTTTACAATTATTCGATTTTGTCAACATGTTCTTTTATCTACAAATCAGAGGGCTTGTTCTTTTGATGTTTTTGAATTAGGTAATTTGAGTGTAGATTTTGAGTTGAGTTTGAGTTATAACTTGAGTTGAAATTGTAACTTGAGTTTATATTTAGTTGTGTATATTTGAATTATGGTTTGAGATAAGAATCTGTTTTGAGTTTGTGTTTGAGTAAGTCAAAACTTAAATTTATTTTTAGATAGTATTTTAATAAAAACTCAATGCTGATGAAAAATGTTAATAGGGTATATGGGGAGGCCTTTGTAAAAATAATTCAATAGAAAAGTTTTATTAGTAAAATAACTTTTCAAAAATTTTTATTTGCAAAATGACCACTTTTTACAAAGAATGATTAGGTGGTAATTCTTCATAAAAAATGAAGGTCATTTTGCTAATTTCACTTTGTTGGATAGTCATTCTAGCATATTCCTCGGTATATGGGTCTAGTTTTATTCGTCTTTTCGTTGTCAACGCATAAAAAAAAAATCATCTCAATCATAATTAAAACGAAAAAGTTATAACACTTTTAAGAATAGAAAAAATATTGTTCATTAACTTGAATTCGAGTTTCTGAACTCGAGTTGAAGGAGAAACTTTTAAACTCAAGTTTTAGTTTCAAACTCGAGTTCAAACTCGAGTTCAAATTTAAAAGAACATGAACTCGAATAAAGTTATAACTCGAGTTGTCTTTTTTTGAGTTTTTCACTCAAAAACTAGCTCCCCGAACAGCCCCTCAGTTTTGAGTCTTGACTTGTCCAATTGTCTTGTTTTAAGGTTCTGGCCGGTTTGTCTTACTTTTCTGATAAAATCTTTTTTTTTTTTTTTTGGTCATCATAGCTTTAAGCATAATTATAACATAGTACTTAACTAGTTCCACTAGATATAAAGGTATGATTTATAGGTGTCTCTTTGAATATAATTGATAGTTTCCTTTCAGTTTTTCGTATCTGTCCCATCGGTTGCAGGATCATAATATTTTTATTGTATAGTCCTGTCATGAGTTTAGATGCATACCATTTTCTTAATAAGCAAACCACAAGAGAAAAAATGTTCCAGTCTTTGATGGCATTGCTTGTCAAGAGTTTTAATGCATATGAGTTACGTTTGCTTTCTGCAGTTTTACTTACTCGGGATTAGAGTAACGTTTTCTTTTTGTGGTTTTACCTACTGTGGATTAGCGTACTTTCACTAAGATTATGAATCCTATTTTGGTTTCAGATTGATGAGAATGTTCAGAGAGAGATTATAAACCATAGGTCCTTGAGGCATCCAAACATTGTCAGATTCAAGGAGGTGAGAAATTGACTAATATCCAATTAAATGTGGCGCCTCATAAGTGGTTGAAGAGGAATTACGCCCACTTCTGTGAAACAAAAATAAAACATTGAAAGAGCTAAAGTTGTATATTAGCCAGACAAGGCTTGAAGAAATCTCTTTTCTTTGTAGGTCTGTTTGACTCCAACACATCTAGCTATTGTGATGGAATATGCAGCTGGTGGGGAGCTTTTCGAAAGGATATGCAGTGCTGGTAGATTTAGTGAAGATGAGGTTAGTTTGTAGTTTTATTTGACATGAATTAGTCAATTTCTTGGTGCATTGAGTATCTAAATCGCTAGTTCATGTCTTTTTGTATATCCCTTTGCGGCAGGCGAGATTTTTCTTCCAGCAGCTAATATCCGGAGTCAGTTACTGTCATTCTATGGTATGTTTTGAAGTTTTTCGGTATTCTGTTTTGTTTCCGTTTTCTTCGCATAACTTATGCTCTACCTGAGTTTCTGTTCTTATTAAGCCATAATTTTACTGCAGCAAATTTGTCATAGGGATCTGAAACTGGAGAACACGCTCTTGGATGGAAGTCCAACACCCCGTCTTAAAATATGCGACTTCGGTTACTCCAAGGTCAATGATTTATCTTTTGAATACCAACTTAGCTTAGTTGAGCTTAGATGATCACTAGATGGATGTGTTTGTTTCTGACTGTATTTTTAGCATACTTTTGTCCACTATACTAATTTGCAGTAACATTTCATTCTCTGCAGTCTGCTTTGTTGCACTCGCAACCTAAATCGACCGTTGGAACACCCGCATATATTGCACCTGAAGTTTTGCAACGTAAAGAATACGATGGAAAGGTACCGGGCTTCTATATCATTGTCCAGACAGTCTAGAAAAGTTTTTTTTTTTTTAGCTTATTGTTAGTTTGGACCATCTAGTTCAGGTACATCGTAGCATTTATTAGATCCACTTTAAAGATTACTGAAATGGATAACCCCATTATTCCAATTTTGTCTCTAACTCGGTAGAGCTTATAGATTGCAGATGTTTGGTCCTGTGGTGTCACGCTCTACGTGATGTTGGTTGGAGCTTATCCTTTTGAGGATCCAGAAGATCCTAGGAATTTCCGAAAGACGATTGGGGTGATTATTTATAATCTGAAATTTAACTGCAACTTGTGGATTTCTTCTTCCTTGAAACTGATTTATTTGTGAATTCTGAAACAGAGAATTATGAGCGTCCAGTACTCAATACCGGACTATGTACGCATTTCTGCAGAATGTAGACTCCTGCTTTCGCGTATATTTGTTGCCAATCCCGCCAAGGTAGCACTCCTGTGATTTTTGTGGCCTCCAAATTTGAAGATTTAAACATAAAGCAAAATGGTCATCTCATTTCTCACTTTTGTGTATGTAGAGGATCACCATCCCTGAAATAAAACAGCATCCTTGGTTCCTGAAAAACTTGCCAAAGGAGCTACTCGAAGTTGAGAAGACGAACTACACTAAATTGGAAAACGACCAACTGACACAAAGCGTGGAAGAAATAATGCGCATAATACAAGAGGCAAAGATGCAGGGGGAGGGAGCCAAGGCTAGCGGCCAAGGCGCTACTGCTGCTGCCGGGGCTTCCGCATCCGACCCAGACGACGAGTCTGAAGTCGATGTCAGTGGTGATTACGTTGAAAATGTTTGAGGATGAATTTTAGGAGTGAAATCTCACATGATAAAAATGCATGCGCTTTTTAGCTTTGTTCATGGACGAAGTTGAATTTGACATTGATGGGGTTGATCCACATGTATAGTAGATTGCATACAAAAATTTCCCAATAACGGAACAGTTGTTTTCTTTTTCTTTTTCTTTCCTTTTCTTTTGGGTCTGGTCTAAAAACAGAATTGAATGTCTTACTCTGTACATGTTGCATTTCTGGATTATTTCTATGTGCAAATTCTGATTCAGGAAAAGCCACAAAATTAGCTTTCAAATTCTCTTTTAACATTTTGTGTCAAAGTTGCAAGAAGCAGTATATCCTTGGAAGAAAATGCATACATGGGAAAAGGACAACCCAAAAAAAAAAAAAAAACCTTTTGCGAAATAGTGTGCAAAGTTTTTTTGTCGATGGATTTATCAGATGAGAAAAATGGAAAGAAAAAAAAAAATTAAAAATTAAAAATTGGATACAAATGATAAAAACAGAAAAAGGATGATCCATTAGGTAGCAAACCTTTCGGGGGATTGAACCCGACGTGAATCGAACACGCAACCTTCTGATCTGGAGTCAGACGCGCTACCATTGCGCCACGGATCCTTTGTGCATATTGGCCTCTCTATATTTATATAAACTATTATCAAACTAGAAGAGTGTCGTCTATTTGCTGTAAATTTCTGCGATCCGGACCAAGTGAAATTAACCTGTAGCTTTCATGAGAGCTAGACAAATATGTTAAAGAGTTTTTAGTTCAATTGGACGATATTAAAATAGTGCTGTCTAGTTTGACGAATCCAATCCTAATCACGTACTCAACCAATCACAACGCCCCAGGTAATTAGACCACAGAAGAATTAGTTGCAGCCATTTGTTTTTTCTTTTTCTTTTTCTTTTTCTGTGGGGTAGTAGCCAATTCTCCACTCGGACAAAATGAACAAATGAATTCAGCGGAGGAGATCCTAAAAAGATTCAATGACTTAAAAATGAGTAGTGTAAGCTAATAATTACTAAATCAAACGATATGGGATGAGGCTTGAATTTGAGAGCACCAGATTTAGATATGGATCAACTTATGCTCTTAATGTGTATTTAATTTGTTAGAATGAGTTAAACTTTTCTTTCAAAATAGGTACCTAACGATCTCATCCTTGTACATGTCAAAATTACAAATCCACTATTCACGTATATGAAATCTAAGATTATTATCATACATGAAAGATTGCAGAGAGCATATATGTATAACTTTACCATAATCTAGTGTGAATTAGATTAACCCTTTGTTGTTTCTGACGATACAATATATATCCACCAATATTTGTCTAGTTTCAACGGCATTCTTGCATGTTGCAATCGAGTTGGGGACGTTTGGTTTATGTATTCAGAATAATTCTCGTTTTACGTGTGTTTTTTATGAGAGAAAACACTGTAGAGAACCATGAATCATGATTCAGAATCAGGAACGAATATAAGAAATAAACGTCTCCCAGGATAATTGCCTTCCAAGCAATAGACCCGGGTTCGATTAACACGGACACTTCCCTAGCCCTATTATTGCACTTAACAATTCCAATTATCTTCTAACACTCTTTAAAAAACACGCGTAGACCAATAAGAAAGTTTTTCTTTTTTTTGTTTTTGTTTTGTTGCTATTTGTTGGTTTTTTGTTTGTTTTTACTATTTTGCAGTTTGGCCTAACACGTTGTTGTTGTTTTTTAATATGGTTCAATAATACATTTAGAAAAGTTTCAATTCTGAACCTTCTGCTCTAATAGCATGTTAATTTACTAATTCATCCTAAAAATTTAAATAATTAGAAAGTAGGCCAATAATAGTCTTATATTCTAACAATGATCAATACTTTTGTTTTGTGATATCAATGGTTAATAACTAAAGAGCAAATTTTCACGAAAATTAATGCACTAATTTAAGTAAACTGCTTTTGAAGAGTTTTTGTTATAATTTAGTTATTATTTCCCTTTTGTTTGTCTGAGGTTCTATAAGTGTTTATAATTTGTCTGTTAAAAGACACATTAAATATCAAAGACACATTAAATATCGATGACCACTAAGTCAACCGGTATGTTGTAGGATGGAGTGGAACTCAGATTTGAGAGGTCACGAATTCAATCTGAGATTATATAAATATAAAATACCTGTGATATGATGCTATGACAAAGTACTAAACACCAAGTGTCTTAGATAATTATATTAAATTCATTGAAGGGTTCAAATTCTAATATAGTGCTTGTGGAGCCAAAAAGGATTGTTATTTAATTAAAAAGATTATAACATGCAATGCTACTAGTAATGCACGTTATAATGACCGATGGTTACGGCATATAAAGAACACCGAAAAGGTGTTTAATTTTTAATACTTTTGTAATTAGGACGTCCCATAAAAGTATATCTTATGTATAACGAGATAATGACTGAATGACATTAACATACAAACGTATTAATTAAGTCAACATTATCCTGAAGACATGAAACTAAACGTTTATTGATCATATTATTATTATTTTTTAAACAATGAGCGAGAAGATTTAAATTTGTCACTTTATGGTGGAATCAGATGTGAAATTACTGTTAGACTATACTTGCAACTATTATTGACACATTCTTATTAGTCAAACGGGTTGAAGCATGAAGTATTGATAAGGATAGACAAGAAATCACCCATAATCCCAATATTCAAAATAATAATAGAAAAATGCACCACACAAAGAAATCAAACAAAAAGTATCCTTTGTGCCTCTTTTCATAGTAAATATCCAAAAATGAGAGGAAACTATTATCCATGTCTAGCTTTTGCCTTGGTGGCGAAGGAAAAAAGAGAGAAGAAAATATGAACAAAAAGTATTTCGTGCTGCCTTGCATTTATCTTAAAAAAAAAAAAAAAAGTAATGTGCTCTGAATAGGTTTTTATACTACGATTTAACGTGTTTCAATCTATGATTTTCGTATTCCTCACTTCTGTCGTTTTCTATACTCCAACGAGTCAACGACGAATATTAGATAGTGCTAGATTTGACAAAGGCCTAAGAGTAGAACAACTCGTAACAAAAAAAAAAAAAAAAAAAAAAAAAAAAAAAAAATCGACAAACATATATTCTTATACACTAAGCGGAGTATTTTCAGCCAAAATTTTTTTTTTTAAAAAATCCGAGTGGACTATTATAAACTACGAATTAATTTTGGTAAAAAAGTTTAAAATTTACAAATACAACACAAATATGGTCTTGCGTTTGTAGTCCAACGGTTAGGATAGTTGCCTTTCAAGCAATAGACCCGGTCCGACTCCTGGCAAACGCATTTTTTTTTTGTTTTTTTCTAGTTATAGATCGTACACATAAAGTATGGAATTCCACCACTAATATTTCCACCACTAATAAATATGGGACTTTCGTTCCATTCTATAATCATAGACGTTTTTGAAGCTTAAGCTCACTAAGTTCTCCAAGTGGACAGAATTTGTTTCGCATTCAATGGAATTATGCTTTGGAATGAATTTGTGGTGCTCTGCAATTTGCGTCCTAGGTGGAACTTATCGCATTAGTCACGCCCAAGGACAGACAAAGAAACGACGTCCCACAAATAGCATTAGTCAAAAAAAAAAAAAAAAAAAAAAAAAAGGAGGAGAAACAATGAAAGAGGACTCTCCGAGGCTCTCTCCACTATAAATATCCAAAATGCAAGGCCATGACAAATAAGTGTCAAAGTTTTGTCTTAGGAAGAGAAAGAAGTGAGAAGAAAATATGAGGCCAAATTCAGTGGTTCTCACTCTCTTGCTTGTGTTGCTTTTTGTGGGAATCTGTCTAGAAGTGGCCAGTGCTAATCTTAGTGCTGCGGAGTGTCATGAGGAGAGGAGAGTTGGAGTGAACGCATGCAAGGCAGTTCTGCATGGCAAGCTTCCCTCGCCGGAGTGTTGCGAGCGAGTGAGGGTCACTCACATTGAATGCGTCTGCCCAGTGATCACGCCCAAGTTGGCCGCTCTTATCGACATCAACCGTTATATCCGCCTCATCGAGGGCTGCGGTCGCCGGGTGCCTCGCCACTACAAGTGCGGAAGTGAGTTCGTACTACGTACTTTTTCCTCTTGCTAGTGGTCTCTTTGTCGTACAATTTTTTTGTATGACCATATATCTAACCTGGCTAGAATATATTGTTGGAGTAGTGAAAACATCGGGAGTTTATCCTGTACGGTTAAAAAAATAAAACTACTGATAATTTTATTTTTTTAAATCGTTTTCAGCCGTTAAATCTTTATCAGCTTCTTTATATTCTGCATATTTTTTTAATATCATTTGATTTTAATCAGATCTAACAATCAGAAAACTGATCTTACCGGTAAGACGGCCTACTAGAGACATCCTGAAAACATTTTCAAGAACATATTGTATTTTTGGTGTGGGGTCTACGGCTATAGTAACCTATAACCAATAATGGTGTAGTATTTTTCTTCTAACCATACGATATCAAATAGAGAGATTTTGAGGAATACTGAGGAAAAAGAAAACAAACCTTCAATTTGAGATTTGTGCTATAAATATTGGAACTTTTGTCTTGTATCACACAAATAAATTAATCAATAATTAAATGTTAACAAAGTGTGACGTAAATTTAAATAAAAAATTTTAATATAAATTTGAAGACATAAAAGTTGTGGCATCTCACCATAATTGTCTCTATCAAATATATAAGTTTCTAAAAATTTGGTGAACAGTTTTGTTAAAATTTATGTTTCATTCGCTAATTAATATTATTCTTTAAGGGACAATATTCTTCTTCTATATTAGTATTACGTTATTGTTATGTTATTATTGGTATTGTCGTTGTTATATTTATTGTTATTATCATAATATTGTTGTTAATTCTTATCATTATTGTTCTTATTATTGTCGTCGTCGTAGTGGCTCTCTTGTTTTTGGTTTATTGAAGTCTTCTTATTGCTATTTTTGTTTGTCCCATCCCATATATACAGGCATCACTACTCCGTGAGAGGCTGCAAAAGTTAATTTGATGACAGACTTCACTCGCAATTACCATATACCTGTCTCGTTTTCTTTCTCTGTCCTAGTTGGATATTGTTGTTTGACCGTGTAGTGGGTTTTTATTTTTTGTTTTATTTTTATTTTTTTTATTTTAAAGAATATCTGTGTAATAAGAGAACTTTTGTGTTCATTTTCTAGTACTAGGCGAGTATTTATGTAGAACTAATATTATCAGTTGCGATACTCTACATGGTCATGTATGGAATATATATGAATTAATAAGTGAGGTTTTTATTTTTATCCTTTATATTTTTGTTCACTTAAAAGCAATATTCATGTCGCATTGGGATGTGAATGTGGCTGTAGTCTGTGCGCTTTTGTTTCTTGCTGTTTCAAACTTTGATATTGTGATTTGCGATTCTCAAATGTTCCTCTCGCTTTTAGTTTGGTGTCGTTTGAAACGTCACCCTCGTTTGTTTTGCTTTTTTTTTTTTCCCTCTTCTTCTTCTTCTTCTTGAAAAGTGTTTTTCTGTATTTCACTGGTGTGCTATTAGTTATTATCGGCTTCTGAAATATCATATTCATATTGTTTGCTGTTGCTGTCATTCTCAATGTGACTACTTACTGGTTCTTTGTTGTTTGTAAAGACATGGTTATCCTTATAAACGACATCAAAACAATCATTGTTATTCTTTTACATGGTTTTCTCCATTTGTAAAGTTTGTCTACTTTTTTTTCTTCTCATCTTCTGTTGTCGTTATTTCACTGTTACTGTTGTTGTTGTTGTTGTTGTTTGTGTGTTGTTATGTAAATGTTTCTAACGTCTATTGCTTATTTTTGTGATAATGCTATAAAAATTATTCATAAGTTTGTTTATAAATTATTGTTATAAACACAAATAATCCGAAGTGATGTACGAGGAAAGTCTCGTTGGACTGGTCTGGTTTAACAACGGGCAATGGCCGCTGTTTACCACTTTACCTGGAGGTTTTTTTATTTATTAAAAAAAATAAAAAATCGAGGGTATAATCGTAAAAAAGGGGTTGATCCATTTGGTAGACAACATTTCGGGGAATTGAACCCGACGTGAATCGAACACGCAACCTTCTGATCTGGAGTCAGACGCGCTACCATTGCGCCACGGATCCTTTGTGTTAGTTTTGGATATTACTATAATAATAAGCAAGAGTCATCAAGAATATTGCTAAATATTATAAATTTGTATTTTACGTCTTTTCCGTTTAATTTTTTAGCTACGAACAAGCCTGTATTCCGCTGCGGAGTACAGTATTATATGATAGTTATATTTAAAATATATTTATACATATACATGTATTATATAGTATTGTATTATATGATAGATATAAAATTTATACAAACATATTTATACATACCTATATAGTATTATTATTTATAATATATATATACAGATTGTACAAAATAAAATACAACGTTGTTGTGATTCTTGAGCATTTCATTTCTTTCAGCTGCAAATATAAAAATGAGAAAATTAGTTGTAAATATAAGTGTTAAAAAAAATAAAGATGTTTAAATTATATAATATGAAATAAATATTATAAAAATGTTGCTGCAGAAACAAAGAAATAAAAACACATATCTAGAAGGTAAGATTGTAGAAACTAACAAACGAAAAAGAAAAAAAAAACTCAATCTGAGTGAGAAAAAAAAAAAGAGATCTAGAAGCTTGCAGAAGAAAACAAATGAAAGAGATAAATGATGCTGTAGAAAGAAGGAAAGAAAAAAAAATTCAAAAAGCAACAAACGGAAAAAGGAAAAATAAAACACTCATTCTGAGTATAAATGATCAAAACGGTCAGAAGAAACAGAAAAAAAAAAAGCTGAACAAAAGGACAATATTAATAACTTTACATTCAAAAGGACATAACGGGAATAAAAAATCAACAGAAGACTATTTTTTAGTCTGCGTTATTCTATTAAGTAAATAGGACATAATAATAATAATAATAATAATTAAAAAAAATATCTCATCCCAAGGGACCGAGTGGATTATGACCGAAATCTACAGGATTGTTTTACTTTACAAATATTAAAGCAATTAATTAATATTATTAATTAATACAGACGCAGAACAAAACAAAACAAAGGAAAGAGAGAGATAAATGACTGCAGAAAGAAGGGAACAAAAATAATTCAAAAAGCAACAAACGAAAAAGTCAAAATAAAGCACTGTGTAAATGACCAAAACGGTCACAGCAAATAGAAACAAAAAATTATGAACTAAAGGGCAATATAGTAAATTTACGCTCAGCAGGACATAACGGGAATTAAAATTTCATCAGAAGAAAAAAGCAAGGCTAAAACGGGAAATACACTGTTCATTGCACTGTAGCATGAACAGTGAATCCCGTCCTCTCCTTTAGTATATGTATAATGTCTTCTTTTCCTTTTAAATCTTTGTCGGTGTATTCCCCCGTAGTGTTGAAGAATCTGTGTGTACTCTTTTTCCTCCCCATCTCTTATTGAATATTAGGTGATTATTATAATGGGTAATTTACACCGGTAATCCTTTACTGTTTAGTAGGTAATACTTTAGTCCCTCTTATTTTTTAAATTTAGCAAAACTCTTCTTGAACTCTCAACATGTTGACAATCAAGTCCTTTCCGTCTCATTTTGTTAAGTTTTTAACAGAATCATGCACGTGACCCAGCATGGACTCTTTTTTAATAAAAATACCAAAATGCTTCAAACTATAAAAAACAACTCAAGAAATCCAAATTGAAAAAAAAAATAAATAAATAAACCATGAACGCAAACCCATCTGCTCTCTGGCGCTAGCCATGGTCGTCAGCTAAACCCCTAACCTACTGCAGAACCAAAATCACCATGCAATTAAAATTGCAGAAACCCAATGATATATTCGAACAAAATCATATAACAATTTTTTGGACTCAAGAAAGACAGATGCTCAACTAGCAATGGTTCATTTCATCCAAAGAGATTGCCCAAATTTGATTTGAGCGATAAAAATAAATTTAAAAAATCTGATTCCCACACACATTCAAGAAAATTCACACAAATCACATGCATTAGGCAAAGCTTCAAAGAAAGAATTATTAGGGACAAGAAAAAGAGAGACCATCATCTCTCCAAATCTCTAGCCAAAGCATGTTTCCAAATTTTGCAATTAACCTCAATCAAGAATGAACCCAGTCAAAATTCATACAAAATCATAAAAATCCAATCAAGAAATGGGTGGTCAAGTTCGATTAGCACTATTGTGTTATTTCTACACTAATTAATCAGTTAAGGAAATAATAATTCATTTAAGGGGTGTTTTATCATTTGCAACATGATTATAAGGGTTTTATTTTTATTTTTATTTTTTTTTGTAGGTTTCTTATGAAATTCAACTTCCATGAGAGCTACTCAACCAATCATAAGGGTTTGTTAAGAAATTAACCCGTAGCTTTCGTGAGAGCTAGACAAATATGTTAAAGAGTTTTTAGTGCAATTGGATGATATTAAAACAGTGCTGTCTAGTTTGACGAATCCAATCCTAATCACCTACTCAACCAATCACAACGCCCCAGGTAATTAGACCACAGAAGAATCAGTTGCAGCCATTTGTTTTTTTTTTTTTTCTTTTTCTTTTTCTGTGGGGTAGTAGCCAATTCTCCACATGGACAAAATGAACAAATGAATTCTGCGGAGGAGACCCTAAAAATATTCAATGACTTAAAAATGAATAGTGCAAGCTAATAATAATTACTAAATCAAACGATATGGGATGATGCTTGAATTTGAGAGCAGGCAGATTTAATTCTGTATTATATATATATATATTTTTTTTTTTGGTGGATCGAAAGGAAAGAAAGAGTTTTGTTTTTGTATGAACTATAAAAATCTATATTAATTATAAAGTAAGCCCCGAGTCCCCGACATAATTCTTGCGTTTGTAGTCCAACGGTTAGGATAATTGCCTTCCAAGCAATAACCCGGGTTCAACTAACATGGAAACTTCCCTAACCCTTTTACTGCACTTAACAATCCCTGTTCATTGGGATTGGTTCCACTCTATGATCATGCTCCTAGGTTTTTCCTTTTGAAATTTTAGCTACCAAATTTTCCATGACAGAATTTCTATTCCAGTCAGTTAGAAAGAATTTATTGTTTCCCTCTTCAGTTTGTGGTTGTATATCGATCCTTGAACTTTTTGTTAAGAATTACACCCTAATGTGTAATGTTCGAGAAGATTATACAATATGACTGTTAATTTATCAATTCATCCCGAAAGCTTAAGTTATTAGGATGTGGCATAACAATAGTCTTATATTTTAATACTCTCCCTCACGTACGTAGGCCGAACAAGGAAATTTTTTTTTAATTATTTTGCTATTTGCTGGTTTTTTTTATTTGTTTTTGCTATTTCGCAGTTCGGCTTAACACTACAGGACCTCCCGTTATGATATCATGTTAGTTTATCAATCCACCCCAAAAGCTTAAGTTATTAAGAGGTAGGCTAACAATAATCTTATATTCTAACAATGATTAATACTTTTGTTTTGAGATATCGTGGTTAATAAATAAAGAGCAAATTTTCATGAAAATTAATGCACTAATTTAAGTAAACTGCTTTTGATGAGTTTTTGTTATAATTTAGTTATTATTTCCCTTTTGTTTGCCTGAGGTTTTGTAAGTGTTTATAATTTGTCTGTCAAGAGACATAGTAGATATCGATGATCACTAAGTCAATCGGTATGTTGTAGGATAGAGTGGAACTTAGAATTGAGAGGTCACGAATTCAATCTGAGATTATATAAATATAAAATACCAATTGCTGATGTTTCTCCTTCCGGTGAATCAAGCAATCTACTTGCCTTATTTATATGAGCATGAGATTTAAATCTAAATTTATACCTGTGATATGATGCTATGACAAAGTACTAAACACCAAGTGTCTTAGATAATTATATTAAATTCACTGAAGGGTTCAAATTCTCATATAGTGCTTGTGGAGCCAAAAAGGATTGTTATTTAATTAAAAAGATTATAACATGCAATGCTACTAGTAATGCACGTTATAATGACCGATGGTTACGGCATATAAAGAACACCGAAAAGGAGTTTAATTTTTAATACTTTTGTAATTAGGACGTCCCATAAAAGTATATTTTATGTATAACGAGATAATGACTGAATGACATTAACATACAAACGTATTAATTAAGTCAACATTACCCTGAAGACATGAAACTAAACGTTTATTGATCATATTATTATTATTTTTTAAACAATGAGCGAGAAGATTTGAACTTATCACTTTATGGTGGAATCATATGTGAAATTACTGTTAGACTATACATGTAATCACTATCGACACATTCTTATTAGTCAAACGGGTTGAAGCATGAAGTATTGATAAGGATAGACAGGAAATCACCCATAATCCCAATATTCAAAATAATAATAGAAAAATGCACCACACAAAGAAATCAAACAAAAAGTATCCTTCGTGCCTCTTTTCATAGTAAATATCAAAAAATGAGAGGAAACTATTATCCATGTCTAGCCTTTGCCTTGGGGCGAGGGAAAAAAGAGAGAAGAAAATATGAACAAAAAGTATTTCGTGCTGCCTTGCATCCATCTAAAAAAAAAAAGTAATGTGCTCTGAATAGGTTTTTACCACGATTTAACGTGTTTCAATATATGTTTTTCGTATTCCTCACTTTTGAGTGTATAAGAATGTAAACATAGTTGTCGTTTTCTAGACTCCAACGAGTCAACGACTAATATTAGATAGTAGATTTGGCTAAGGCCTAAGAGTAGAACAACTCGTAACCAAAAAAAAAAAAAAAAACGACATACATGCATTCTTATACACTTAGAAGCGGAGTATTTTCAGCCAAAAAAAATTCAAAAAAAAAATCCGAGTGGACTATAAACTACGTATTAATTTTGGTAAAAAAAGTTTGTAATTTACAAATACAACGCAAATATGGTCTTGCGTTTGTAGTCCAACGGTTAGGCTAATTGCCTTTCAAGCGAAAGACCCAGGTGACGCATGTTTTTGTTTTTTCTAGTTATAGATCGTACGCATCAAGTGTGGAATTCGTAAAATTATTCCTAAACAAATTATCGTAGTTGGTATTGATCATTGCTTTTAGATTCTCTTTTTCCATTGAATACTAAAAAAGTGGTTGGCATTTGTTATATCCCAATATTCCTATGCGCGACAATTAGTCCAACAAAGAGGCTGCTTAGTCAAAAATCAGCTGGTATTTTTCTCTTAGTTCTTTTGTCCTATGTTACCTTTGCCGACCTAACATGCCCTACGTGATATTCAAAGTCGAGTTGATTCTGCAATTACCAAAAAAATACTTTTAATATTTTAAAAAATAATTCTAAGAACTTATTTAGTTTATTGATTTGAGTTTTTAATTTGAGTTAAGATGTGATTTTATGTGAGAACCTTTTACTATAATAAAAAAGTTAAATGTGATTATTTTTAAAAGTTTTTTATTATAGTAAAACTTGAATTTTAAACTGAAATCAATAAAATGAATGAGGCTTAAAGATATTCACAAAACATGAAGCAATATGGAAGTTTCCCTACCCTTCTCATGAAAGATCTTCAGTGTACTATCAATTACAACTTTCATTTTCATATAGGTAAGTGGGTCCCGAAGTACTATTAAATATGAGACTTTGGTTCCCCTTTCTATAGCATTAGTCGCGCACAAGGACAGACAAAGAAACGACCCACAAATAGCATTAGTAAAAAACAACCAAAAAGCACTACACAAAAAAAAAAAAAAAAAAAAAAAAAGGAAGAGACCTGACAAAAAATGAAAGAGGACTCTCCGAAGCTACTCCACTATAAATATCCAAAATGCAAGGCCATGACAAATAAGTGTCAAAGTTTTGTCTTAGGAAGAGAAAGAACAGAGAAGAAAATATGAGGCCAAATTCAGTGGTTCTCACTCTCTTGCTTGTGTTGCTTTTTGTGGGAATCTGTCTAGAAGTGGCCAGGGCTAATCTTAGTGCTGCGGAGTGTCATGAGGAGAGGAGAGTTGGAGTGAACGCATGCAAGGCAGTTCTGCATGGCAAGCTTCCCTCGCAGGAGTGTTGCGAGCGATTGAGGGTCACTCAAATTGAATGCGTCTGCCCGGTGATCACGCCCAAGTTGGCCGCTCTTATCGACATCAACCGTGCTATCCGCCTCATCGAGGGCTGCGGTCGCCGGGTGCCTCGCCACTACAAGTGCGGAAGTGAGTTCGTACTACGTACTTTTTCCTCTTGCTAGTGGTCTCTTTGTCGTACAATTTTTTTCTATGACCATATATCTAACCTGGCTAGAATATATTGTTGGAGTAGTGAAAACATTGGGAGTTTCTCTCGTAGGACTATAAAAATGAAACTACCGATTGTTTTATTTTTTTAGTCATTTTCAGCCGTTATATCTGTATCAGATTCTTCTATTATGCATATTTTTTTAATCTTATTTGATTTTGATCAGATCCAACAGTCTAAAAATTGGTCCTACCGGTAAGACCGTCTACCAGAGACATCCCGAAAATATTTTACGAACGGGCGCGTTTGCAACTCGTTTCAAAATGATTTTATTTTTTGTATGAAAATGAAAATGAAAACGTTTTCAATCTCAGGTAGAAATCATTTTTGAAAATACGTTTGGTAATTTTATCTAGAAATTATTTTCAGTATAAAAAACCCCATTAATATATATATATATATATCTATGTGTGCTCGAAAGAGGAGAAAATGAAAATAAAAAATAAAAAATGACTAAAAATTGTTTTTCATTTATCTCTCATTTTACACTAAACTAAAAAATCGTTTTCATTTTCATTTTTTTATCTTTATTGCACCAAATGCCGTTTTAAAAACGTTTTCATTTTTTATTTTTCAAAAAACATAAAAAACAAAAACGGGATCAATTTCAACCACGGCCATTGTATCTTTTGGATGGGGTCTACGGCTATAGTAACCTATAACCAATATTAATGGTGTAGTATTTTTCTTCTAACCATACGATGTCAAATAGAGAGATTTTGAGGAATACTGAGGAAAAAAAAAAACAAACCTTCAATTTGAGATTTGTGCTATAAATATTGGAACTTTTGTCTTGTATCACACAAATAAATTAATCAATAATTAAATGTTAACAAAGTGTGACATAAATTTAAATAAAAAATTTTAATATAAATTTGAAGACATAAAGTTGTGGCATCTCACCATAATTGTCTCTATCAAATATATAAGTTTCTAAAAATTTGGTGAACAGTTTTGTTAAAATTTATGTTTCATTCGCTTAATATTATTCTTTAAGGGACAATATTCTTCTTCTATATTAGTATTACGTTATTGTTCTGTTATTATTGGTATTGTCGTTATTATATTTATTGTTTTTATCATTATTGTTATTATCATAATATTGTTGTTAATTCTTATCATTATTGTTCTTATTATTGTCGTCGTCGTAGTGGCTCTCTTGTTTTTGGTTTATTGAAGTCTTCTTATTGCTATTTTTGTTTGTCCCATCCCATATATACAGGCATCACTACTCCGTGAGAGGCTGCAAAAGTTAATTTGATGACAGACTTCACTCGCAATTACCATATACCTGTCTCGTTTTCTTTCTCTGTCCTAGTTGGATATTGTTGTTTGACCGTGTAGTGGGTTTTTATTTTTTGTTTTTTGTTTTTTTTTTTTAATTTTAAAGAATATCTGTGTAATAAGAGAACTTTTGTGTTCATTTTCTAGTACTAGGCGAGTATTTATGTAGAACTAATATTATCAGTTGCGATACTCTACATGGTCATGTATGGAATATATATGAATTAATAAGTGAGGTTTTTATTTTTATCCTTTATATTTTTGTTCACTTAAAAGCAATATTCATGTCGCATTGGGATGTGAATGTGGCTGTAGTCTGTGCGCTTTTGTTTCTTGCTGTTTCAAACTTTGATATTGTGATTTGCGATTCTCAAATGTTCCTCTCGCTTTTAGTTTGGTGTCGTTTGAAACGTCACCCTCGTTTGTTTTGCTTTTTTTTTTTTCCCTCTTCTTCTTCTTCTTCTTGAAAAGTGTTTTTCTGTATTTCACTGGTGTGCTATTAGTTATTATCGGCTTCTGAAATATCATATTCATATTGTTTGCTGTTGCTGTCATTCTCAATGTGACTACTTACTGGTTCTTTGTTGTTTGTAAAGACATGGTTATCCTTATAAACGACATCAAAACAATCATTGTTATTCTTTTACATGGTTTTCTCCATTTGTAAAGTTTGTCTACTTTTTTTTCTTCTCATCTTCTGTTGTCGTTATTTCACTGTTACTGTTGTTGTTGTTGTTGTTGTTTGTGTGTTGTTATGTAAATGTTTCTAACGTCTATTGCTTATTTTTGTGATAATGCTATAAAAATTATTCATAAGTTTGTTTATAAATTATTGTTATAAACACAAATAATCCGAAGTGATGTACGAGGAAAGTCTCGTTGGACTGGTCTGGTTTAACAATGGGCAATGGCCGCTGTTTACCACTTTACCTGGAGGTTTTTTTATTTATTAAAAATAAAAAAAAAATTCGAGGGTATAATCGTAAAAAAAGGGGTGATCCATTTGGTAGACAACATTTCGGGGAATTGAACCCGACGTGAATCGAACACGCAACCTTCTGATCTGGAGTCAGACGCGCTACCATTGCGCCACGGATCCTTTGTGTTAAAGTTGGTTATTAATATTATAATAAAGAGGTAATAAACAGTGCTAAATATTATAAATTTGTATTTTATGTCTTTTCCATTTTTTTTTTAGCTACGAATGTCTTTTCCTTTTAAAATCTTGCTCGATGTATTCTCAGTTCCCCGTAGTGTTGAAAAATATCTGTGTACTCTTTTTTCTTCCCATCTCTTACTGATCGAAATGAAATGCTACAAAATTGTGATAATATCTATGAAAATTATCAATATTTTTTTAAAGAAGTAAGATGATCATTATCCCATAAAAAAATTGCAACATTCTTTTGTAATATTATTTTGACATTTTCTATGTCTTCACTTTTATAAAGCCCTTGTATTTGAAATATAGGAAGTCAGGTAATTATTATAATGAGTAATTTACACCGGTAGTTCTTTAACTATTTAGTGGGTGACACTTTAATCCCTCATTTTTTTAATTTTAGCAAAATGATTCTTGAAGTCTCAACACGTTGGCAATTAAGTCATTTCCATCTCATTCTGTTTAGTTTTTAGCAGAATCATGTACGTGACTCAGCATGGGCTATCTTTTTTTAATAAAAATACCAAAATGTTTCAAACTATAAAAAACAACTCAAATCTTGAAGAAGAAACCCAAATTGGAGGAGAAAAAAAAATCATAAACGCAAACCCGTCTGCTCTTGGCGTTAGCCATCGTCGTCGGATTAACCCCCAACTCACAACAGAACCAAAATCACCACGCAATCAAAATTGCAGAAACCCAATTAATATATTCAAACAAAATCAAGAACAACTCTTTGGACTCAAGAAAGACAGACGCTCAACCAGCAATGGTTCATTTCATCCAAAGGAATTGCCTAAATTTTATTTGAGCAATATAAAAAAAATATCAGATTCCCACACACACTCAAAGATATTCACACAAATCACATGCATTAGGCAAAGCATCAGAGAATGAATTATTAGGGACAAGGGAAAGAATCCCTCCAAATCTCTAGCCAAAACATGTTTCTAAATTTTGCAATTAACCACAGTCACGAATGAACTCAGTCAAAATTCATATAAAATCATAAAAATCCAATTTAGATATGTGGAGAGAATGTAACACCCCAGAGAATTAAACGAGATTAATTAATGTAATTAAAATTGATTACCGTGCCTAATCTAATTGATTAATTATTGATTATTAAATATTTCTGACGTGTAAATTTAAATATTTCCAAGAAATTTAAATATTTTCAGTAATTACATTTTACCCCATAAGTGTGTGTAGACACATTTTCTAAACTGTTATTTTTAAATATTTGAGACACCTCTTTTTCTTTTCTTTTCTTTTTCCTTTTTCTTTTTTATTTTTTTTTTCATTTTTTTTCCTTTTCCTTCCCGTGGCTGCCAGCCCCCCAGCTCTCTCTCTCTCTCTCTCTCTCTCTCTCTCTCTCTCTCTCTCTCTCTCTCTCTTTATTTTTCTTTTATCTCTCTCTCCTCTAGTTTCTCTCACGCGAGCCATCTCTCTCTTTTTCTCCATTTTTCTTCCATGCCGGCCACTTCCTCCGGGATCTCTCTCCCGCCAGCTGTCTCTCTCTCTCCGAGTTTCTCTCTCCTTCTCTCTCTCTCTCAGCTTGCTGCCGAGACACAAAAAAAAAGGGAGAAACGGAGGGAGCACGGCTCCATCAACTAATTTGAGGTAAAACCCCTTTGAAGCCCACTCTTGATTTGAATTTTTAAACATGAGAAAGTTTAATTTTGATTGGATTTGAATAATTTTGAGTTAGAGTTTGGATTTAAACAATTGTTGTTAGAATTGATTGAAATTTGGGGGTTTTCAGTTATTGGACTTGTTTAGTTGATTGGAAACTAGTTTTGATGGATTCTGGAGAATTTATTTTGAAATTGAACTTGATTTGCATGTTTGGTATTTTTTCTATTTATGTCGGCATGCTGCTAAAATTTTTTTTGAAAGTTGTTTTTAAGCTGAAATTAAATAGGAAACCAAACCCATGAATCGAATTTCAATCTTTAAAGTGTTGGAAAATTAATGGCATCGAGTGCGCAGCGGAATTTAAAAATTTTAATCAACGTCAAAGCCAAACAAGAACATGTTCATGATGCTATATAACATAAATACTAAAGATCTAAAACATACCTTTTTGAGATTTCAAAAAACTGCACGTCTGACAGATCTAAGCGTTCCAAACAGCAACCGGAAGAGCCTCAACCAACTGGTCTTCTTTGCTATTCTCGTTTCCACAATCGGTGTGCGGGTGGGCACACGTCGTTAATCTCCTCTAGGTATTCTTGATCTCCTTCCAATCACAAGAGAGTCAAAGAAAAAATTGTTCTTGAGAATTAAATAATTTTTCCTCTCAGGAATCTTTTATCAATAGCCTCCAAAAAGTCTCTCAAGTGATCTAATGAGTAATGTGACTTAATAGGCTATTTATAGTGTTTTGGAAGTCATACTTCAGTGACAATTAGGTTTCCCAAAGTTCTAATCGCATCCAGAGTCGATTTTCCCACGTCAGCATGCATTTTACGTTACAACCGGTCGACCGGTGACAGAGACGTTATAACTCACCGGTTGACCTGTCTTCACTAACCGGTCGACCGGACTGGTCGACCTGTGACCGGTCTACCCAACCGGTCGACCTGTCTGCACTGACGAAAGTTATTTTTCATACTTTTTCAATACGGGAAACTTGCATAGAGCCTCAGTTTTGATTCAAGCAACCCAATAGAGAAATTGCCTGATCAAAACAGTCATATAATAGTCTTCCCATATTAAACAACTTTTAAAATAATAATTCAACCAATTTATCTAGAATTAATTTATCAATTAATTCACCCATGAATTAACTTTGAACCTCTCGTTACGGAAATAACACAAATTACCAATGTGTAGGAAATACACCGTATCGTTACAGGAAATTATGTGAGCTAGCAAAGGGACCCAATGGACATATATAAATCAAGCTCCTATAATCACAACGCTACTTGTAAACCAACAAGTCCGTCTCATGATTATAAAACTCTAGCACTATTCCACTAAAAGCCTATAGCTGCACTCTCGATTTATATAGCGTATTTACAAAGCTCTGATTAGCTCTAGTCCATGACTCAATATATTAGTGTATCATCCCCATAGGATATCCATAATCGACTTGAGGTCAAGTTCCATTTTACCTTCCCGATTACATTTATCTTATGTTCCATTATCATACCATCGGAAAAATGATGTCTCCCTTTAGTACATCAAAGGATACAAGTCCAGTATACAGGTTCATCATCCATCTCAGGATTAAGATGACAACATATAATTCGTCAAAAGTGAATTGTTTTATTCAAACAGAATTATTAATTAAAACAATTCAACTTTGGTCCGATCCAATATAGATTTTACCATTAGAAACTATATCAATGTCTCCACCCATGGAGTCCCACCTCCGACGACCAAGACAAGCCGTCTCCGTTAGGAAGTAGACAACATAACAATCTTAACATGAATAAAGCGCCCAACTTTATTCCCTCAATTGTGGATCATAAGATTTAGACTATCATCTTTAGATTCTTGTCTTCCGCATGTTCTTCACATTACATGCATGACCTAAAGATTTAGAATGACAGTCTCAGACTTTCAGTTTGCTTATCATACATTCAACTATTATGAACATAAAGAGGACAATTCATAGATATATAAAATAAATAAATCTTTATTAATAGTCAAAATATCTCAAAGAATATTGTTACATTTATTCCTAAGGGCATAAACGCTAACATAAAGTACCCCCAAACTAATTATAAAATCGTTTGTGAGACTTGGATTTGAGTCAAGGCACACTAATAGGAAATCAAAAGGATATAATTGAGATTGAAATTGCTTTAGGAATGAGAATTGGATCCTAAAGTGTTGTTTTGTATCAGTACTAGCTGAGGACTAGGATTGAGAGACTTTGAGGAAGCGAAAGCCGGAATAGAGCAACGATAGTCACAGGTTTGATATTTGCGAGGTAGGATTCCTTATCCCTTTCTTTGTTAGCCTTGTTTTCAAAAGAGTTTTAGCCTTACAAATGCTTTAAAGAAAGTGTATGTTTGCGAAAGAAAAGCATTTTAAAAATCATGGCTTGTTGTAGTTCATGGGATTAAATGAACGA